TAGGTGTCAGGGCTTTAAAGGTACCCCCTATTTTCGGAAACCCCACACAACCCTAAACCCTAAACCCCTAAACCCTAAACCCTAAACCCGAAACCCTAAACCCCTAAACTGTGGGTTTTGAACCTGGGGAGTCAGAAGACACGAGACGTGGGCAGTCTCGCGGAGAGAGCCTGAAGTCAAGATTCTCGAGGAAGAAGGCGGGCTTCGCAAAGTCATCTTGAAACCCTAAACCCTAAACCCTAAACCCTAAACCCTAAACCCTAAACCCTAAACCCCCAAACCCCCAAACCCCCAAACCCCTACACCCTAATTGGCAATCCAGGAGTTGGTTGTTGAGGGTCGTCCGGTTGGGATCCAGAGGATTCCGCTGGGTTTACTCGTCAGCTCTTTGCAGGGAATTCGGGAAGCCGGATATTCCCCCAAACAAACCCGTTTAAGCCCAAACAGGGCTTCGGGTTTAGGGTTTAGGGTTAGGGTTCAGAGTTCAGAGTTCAGGGTTCAGGGTTCAGGGTTCAGGGTTCAGGGTTCAGGGTTCAGGGTTCAGGGTTCAGGGTTCAGGGTTCAGGGTTCAGGGTTCAGGGTTCAGGGTTTAGGGTTTAGGGTTTAGGGTTTAGGGTTTAGGGTTTAGGGTTTAGGGTTTAGGGTTTAGGGTTTAAAACGGGCCTTGGGGTGCTGATCATTGCAGGCGGAGATGCCGGACAGAAGCACAGCAAGTAGTGGAAGCCCGTCCTCTGATCCTTGGCTTACTGCTGGCTAGCAGGAAATGAGGGAAATAGGGCCCTCTATATACGTATATGCATGTATATACCCTTTTGGGATTATAGGGTTTAGGTTTTACAGTTTAGGGTTTAGGGTTAAGAGGTTAGGGCTTGGGGTTTAGGCTTTAGGGTTTTGGGTTAGGGTATACCATTTTGGGATTACATAGGGTACCTCATTCCCCCATGCCCTACTAAGCCTCTGATCCTTGGGCTGCACGCTGGTGGCTTGGGTAGGATTTAGGGGTTTAGGGTTTTGGGGTTTAGGGGTTAGGACTTAGGGTTTAGGGTTTAGAGGTTTAGGGTTTAGGATCTAGGATTTTTGGCTTTTAGGGTTTTAAGGTTTTGCAATACAGGGGTGAGGGTGCTAGGGCTTTCTAGTAGGGTTGAGGGTCTTAGCTAAGCGCTTTAGGATCACCGCTTGACGCGCTGAATCGACAGCGGCAAATTCTCTGCCAAGGGCTGAACCGTTGAGCTTCACAACTCTAGCCAGCTGCTGCAAAAGCCAGGGTGGACCTGAAGCGCAATTGGTCATGGCTCAAGCACAAGATCGGCATCTTGGCGCTCGATTGGATGCCGTCCAGATTGTAGGCATGGACATCAGCAGGTAAAGTGAAAACGAGTGGCGGTGAGTCGTGGCTGCTCCAGTCGGTGGGAGGAGCATCACCAGTGCCACTCGGGACCCAATACTCTGGACGCTGCACATCCAGGTCGTACCATTCAGCAGGGGTCATTCCATGACGTACTGAAAACTGTGATACGCACTTCTGACGGAACAGAGGGTCTGACATAGTTGAGATGGTTAAACCCCCAACCCATAACAATGTCCTTTCCTTGCCAGCATCGAGCACACGCTCGTCACGCAGATTCTGAAATGAAACTTGCCCTAAACCCTAAACCCGAAACCCTAAACCCTAGACTCCTGTAGACATACACGTGCTCTGGCCTGCAACTCTTGCCACCCTAGTTCTTAGCAGGGAATGAGGGAATGAGGGCCCTATATATGCCCTTAACGGGATTGTATAGGGTACCTCATTCCCTCATTCCTACTAAGAACCAGCCAGTCTGGCTGGTTCTTAGTAGAATGAGGTACCCTATATTATCGCTTAAAGGGTATATGTAGGGCCCTCATTCCCTGAGTCCCTACTATGTGTTGCACGCTCATTTCTGCACGTCACGCTTGTCAGGCTTGCGGTTGCTCTTACTGAAACCCTAAACCCTAAACCCTAAACCCTAAACCCCAAACCCCAAATCCCAAGCTCGGACAGACTCCGATAAAGCTCTAAACCCTCGGCCCCAAGCCCTAAACCGTCAGCCCTAAACCCTAAACCGGCGAAACGTTCACGCGAGTTCTGGAGACAACCTCTTTTTAGGATCTAGGGCTTGATGCCTTCTAGGGCTTGTGCATTGCTACCAATAAAACGATAAACCCTAAACCCTAAACCCTAAACCCTAAACCCTAAACCCTGAACCGCAAACTTCCTGGCTGGCACGGGCTCCGTCTTCACACGGCCGAGATCAATCTTGGAGATTGGATCCACGATCCTCTTGCAACAGCTCAGGGGCTGTAGAGGGTTGAGGGCTAGACCAGGCAGAATTCTCTCAAAAAGCAAAGCTAAGGCGACTCTACCACAAGCCCTATGAAAGGTACAAGTAGCCTCCTAAACCCCCACAACCTCTGAAACCCTAAACCCTAAACCCTAAACCCTAAACCCTAAACCCTAAACCGTGGTCCTGGCCCAGTCAAGCTCCCGATTTCCTGCGCCAGCCGAAGGGACAGCTTCGGGCGATTTGCAACCCGCAAACCCAGGCACTAGACTTGAGGGCTAAAGACCCGGTAAGGGGGCGTCTGAAGGAGCCCTAAACCCTAAACCCCAAACCCTAAGCCCTGAACCCTAAAACCCGAAACCCTAAAACCCGAAACTCTAAACCCTAAAACCCTAAACCATAAATAAGACTTGTTGGCGGGAGAGTGATCTGTGGGGATGGTGGCGAGTACCTTCTTGGGCTCCAGGTTCTGAACATGCGGTTTAAGGTTTAGGGTTTAGGGTTTAGGGTTTAGGGTTTCGGGTTTAGCGTTTAGGGTTTAGGGTTTAGGGTTTAGGGTTTAGGGTTTAGGGTTTAGGGCTTAGGTACTTGCGCTAGGAAACTTGAAAACGCTGCGGTGGGAAAATTCACACCCTAAACCCTAAACTCTAAACCCTAAACCCTTAACCCTTAACCCCCTTACTCCTGAACATCAGACGCTGCACCGCTTCAAGGCTTGACTTACGAATCTTGGTAGGGGAATCTGAGGGAACTAGGGTTCAAGGTACCTGGGGGCACCCCCCGCAAAGAGTTTAAACTTTATGAGGACCCCGCCCCCAGATTAAATTCTGAAAACGACCCCAACTTATGGCTTGCGCTGACCTCTCTCGTGCAAAGCAAGGCCACCTGGACAAGCTCCTGAATCCCTAAACACAAATATAGGGGCGGGTTTTTGGGGGGAGTTAAGAGTATATTGGTAATGGGACCCTAAGGGAATATAAGGGAATACGATTAGGAATTGTTCCAACCCCTATATTATACCCCTGCCAGACTCGCAAGAAAGAACCGCACTCGATACCCCAAACCCTAAACCCTAAGCCCTAAACCCTAAACCCTAAACCCAAAACCCAAATTTCCACCTGAAGCGTCTGCCTGCTGCTACCGGAGCTGATTTTCGAAGAGCTTGGGACGTTCCCCCTTATCCTGAGAGTCCTTAATAGGGATTATAGTACCCGCTATTCTACTCCCTATTTAGGAATGGTAGGAGAGAACATCCCAATGAACACCGCAACCCCAAAACCCCGAAACCCCGAAATCCTCTCCAAACTTGCGGCCCCACCTGCTTCGAACATGTTCTCACCCAAGCCACCGCCACAGGTGTCGCCGATCTGTGCCAAGGCACTTTAGGGTTTAGGGCCCAGGGCTTAGGCTTCAGGGTTTAAGGCCTAGGGCTTCGGGCGTAGGGCTTCGGGTCTCAACCTTGGGTTAGGGCTAAGGGCTTAGAACTCACGGGTAGGGTTTAGGGTTTGAGGTTAATGCAGCGGCTTGGGTCTTGAGCTGCTGGCTACCAGATTTCTACCTACTATGTATCACCGCGCCGGTGCAGGCACATGTCTTGGGAGTTTAGGGTGGAGGGCTTGCAGGGTTTAACAATTAGGGAAGTTGCTCCGTTGGAAGTTGCTTCGTTGAGGGCCCACTTACCCACCCTGACATGATGACTTTCCACGCACGTCGCTTGCCTGAATTCCATACTTAAGGGGTGCTGGGGGGGGGGAGGGACATGAATCCGACTACCCTACAAGACCCTAAACCCCAACCTTAAGTCACTTTAACCCCGAAGTCTCCCAAAATAAGAGAGAGATCCATGACTTGTCACGCGAAAGCCGATGTAAGGGTTGACCTACATGGGCAGCCGAAGCACAGAGAGCTCAAGAGGGTTTAGGGTTTAGGGTTTAGGGCTTGGGGTTTAGGGTTTAGGGTTTAGGGTTTAGGGTTTAGGGTTTAGGGTTTAGGGTTTAGGGTTTAGGGTTTAGGGTTTAGGGTCTCACACCAAGCCCGAACAGGCTGAGCGCAAGGGAAGGAGCTGTACTACACCGCGCAACTGTCCGCATGCGGCACCGGAAGATGCTCAGCCATTCCAGAGGCCACAAGCTTCATTAGGGTTTAGGGTTTAGGTTTAGGGTTTAGGGCTTAGGGCTTAGGGCTTAGGGCTTAGGGTTTAGGGTTTAGGGTTTAGGGTTTAGGGTTTAGGGTTTAGGGTTTAGGGTTTAGGGTTTAGGGTTTAGGGGTGCTAGAATCCTGGCAACCCAGCAGATGTTTCCAGGCTTTGATGTCAAAACCAGCTGCTTGAGCAGACTCCGACCTGCCTGCTCCAGCACCTCATCTAGGAGTTCCCTTAAATCCCTCTGAAAACTATTCCTGAGTATGATCCTCTCAAACCCAATAAGGGAAATATGAAATGTCCCAAGGGCATACCTGGTCATGCAACTCAAGATGGGATCTCAAACTCTTGCCAGCGCTATCGGAAAATGGGGTGTAGAGGTTTCGGGTTGAGGGTTTAAGGCTAGGGTTCAAGGTTTGGGGGGACCATTCAGAGATTGGCTACAAATATTTGAGCCGATCAGCAAGCTGTCAAAGGTAAAGCAGCGTCAATGTTTCGATCCGAGACCATTGCCGACTCCACATGAAGCACGATGAACCTCGCGGTCTCTGCCTCTCTCAGACACCACGCCCCCATTGTGGCACGGCCTCCACTGCCTGCACTGCCCTGCGCAGCTCGTCCCAAGTCAGTCCCACCCTGGATTGGCTTTCCAAGGCAAAGGCCCACTGAAACAACTGAAGCTCTTTCCTGCGACCTAGTGTCAAGTAGGCAGCAATGTCTTCTGGCAAGCTGCCGTCGGGCGAAGGTCTGTTTGGCCAGTCAAGCATCGCAAGTTGCCACATTGTGTGCAGAATGCATGCCATGTCGCTTTGAGAAAGGGGCAACGTCAGCGGGTGTTGGGCTTGCCGATGGTCTCGAATCAGTTCATCCCGCATCGGGGCCAGACTGACTTGCACAAGGGAGTCGAAATCGATCACGTGAAGCTGATTGGTTCGGTCCTTGATGAGATTGCCGTTCCTAAGATCGGCATGAACAATTGCGCACGCAGACAAGCTCTCCAGCAAAGCCAGGACGGGGCTCATGGCCCCAACGGTTGAGGGGGGTGCTGCGAGACTCTCGCCTTGCAACTTCTCCATCGCTAGCAGCCAGACAGCTTTGGGTACTCGCCCACCATGCACATGCATGGCTGGCTTTATTTTGGCCAACCATAGGCTCGGGGCTGGGGAAGGATAAATGAAGCTCCACAGCCAAGTTGACCAGGATGTCTCAGCGTTCTGCAAAATGCTGATGGCCTGCCAACACTGCTCCATGGGCACCAGGCGTGAATGAAGAACGCACACCACCTTGACAAGAAGTTCGGTGCCAGAGCTGAACAAATCCTCGCCAATGCTGATGGCTTCAAATGACGGCTCATGCAAGCCCCTCCCCAAACCCAAACCATTTTCAAGGCAAAAGCCTGCAAGCCCGAGCGCAGCTGCAGCAGAATCCCCTGTGAGCATCCCCATCCTGGCCCCAATTGGCCCAATTGGCACATGGGACTCCCCAGCAGAGCTGCCTCTTTAATGTTCCCAGCCATAGTTGCCGTGTCATCCTCCTGCCGCAGCCGAGCTTGGATAGAGGACTGTAGTGCTTCACACAAGACGTGGAGCAATGTGGCAAGGTGCACGAGGTCAGGTCTGTCGTTGCACTCTACCTTTTGAGCAGTGACCGTCATGCCACCCCCAAGATCCTAGTACAGAGAGCACACAACCGTCGGGACGATTGGACAGGATCCTGACAGCACCCACGACGATCGGCTGGCTGTTGCCACAAACGTCTCGCTGCACTGGAGCAATGACTGCAGCCACGCGGTGTAATACTTGAGCAACGACATTGTCACCCTCTTGATCCAGGTTGAAGTGGATGGCACTGCGCTTCATTTTTCCACTGCAGTGAAGGGGACCTCGACGATGTCTTGCTGGCCCAGTTTAAATTCCCGGATCACGGCTACATCCAAATCGGTATTGGGCAACTTTGCAGCCTTCAGCCCTCTGAGGGATTGCGGTTTCACTCCGCATTTCACTGCAAACTTGCAAGAGCTCCCCGTAGCATCAGAGCTGTCCATAGCATCGCAATCAATCATCGCCGCAAGCCGCTCCGCCCACTTCGATTCCGTCTTCACTTCATCAGTTCGTGCATTCAGTTCAACCAGGCTGCTTTTAAGGTCTGGTTTGCTTTTCCTTGTGATATTGCAAAACTTGTCCAAGACCTCGTCGAAAACGATGGGCAGTGTCCCTCCTTGAACCACATGGCATCCCAAGCCGCGCAACAAGACCTTCCTTTGGCTTCTGTCTGAGGAGCAACTTGAAGCATGACTCTCAAGAGAAACAGCCATGGCAGTTCAAGCGCAACTAGTGCAAGTGTTTCATTTCCCTGGTAGCAACGAAAATGTACTCATTGCAGTACGACCAGATGGGATGTTTCCTGGAGAATGGAATATGTTGCAAGCACAACAACGGCATGGTTCACCATGGTTCACTTGAATCACTGTGCTTGATCCACAAGGAGCTGTTGGCACATTGACAGATTAGGAGCTGTAGCAATAGCCGCAGCAGTAGCAGTAGCAGCAGTAGCAGCAGCAATAGCCGTAGCAGTAGCAGTAGCAGCAGTAGCAGCAGCAGTAGCAGTAGTAGTACCAGCAGCAGCAGCAGCAGCGGGGGTGGTGGTGGTGGTGGTGGTAGTAGTAGTAGTAGTAGTAGTAGTAGTAGTAGTAGTAGTAGTAGTAGTAGTAGTAGTAGTAGTAGTAGTAGTAGTAGTAGTAGTAGTAGTAGTAGTAGTAGTAGTAGTAGTAGTAGTAGTAGTAGTAGTAGTAGTAGTAGTAGTAGTAGCAGCAACAGTAGCACTAACAATAGTAATCCCTTCCCCCTAACACTGAATACCCCCCTAATTACAAACACCACCTGGCCCCAAATCCGACCCGGAATTTTTGAGGATTCGTTCATGCTTGCCAAGGCCTATTTGGCCGCTTCACTTCAGGGGTTCCCTCTGGTGCATCCCCTCGAAAATCCCAAAACCCTATCGGGTTTTCTTGATCGCTGTGCTGTTCCCCATCCCCCGACCGCGAACCAGCTTAGGGCTTCGGGTTTGAGGCTTGGGTTTAGCGTTTAGGGTTTGGGGCTTAGGGTTTAGGGATCAGGGTTTGGGGGTTAGGGTTTAGGGTCCAGCAGGGCAGTCGCACCATCACGGCCATGCGCGAGTAGAGCAGCGGCGAAGTGGTCTCCTGGATAAACCTTGTGCGACGAGCACTGCGGCTGAGGGTTCAGGGTTTGCGTAGGCTCTCTAAACCTCGAACCCTAACGCCTAAACCCTAAACCCTAAACCCTAAACCTTTAAACCCTGCCAGGGAGGCTTGAGGGCATCCAAATCCTGCCGCTGCGGCTATCTGTTCCACGAGCCTCTCCATAACCCACATCCGCTTGCAGCCTCAACCCTGAAACTTAAGCCCTGAACAAGGAAAAGCCTAGGGTTTCAGGCTTAGAGCTTTAGGGTCTGAGAGCCTGGGGTGTTTCGGGTGTAGGGCTCAGGGGGCTTAAGCCCGACTTGGGTTCAGTGCCTCAGGCGCTTTTGGGCTTGAGGCTTAGGGCCTAAGATGGTTTAAGGTTAAAGCTTCCCTTGCTTCGAGAGTTTCTCGGTATCAGATGCAAGAACTGTCTGCTTCACGCAGGCCCATGGCATGTCCGAGTACTCGTGAGCGCCAACAAAAACATTCAGACAGCGACCTGAACAGATGCTGCCGGGCTAGCGAACTCTCCCTTGCTGGAAGCATGTGCGAGCATGACTCATCGCGGCAACTGAAACGGCGCCTGCGTCCTTGCCCAATCACAGAGCATGCCCGTAAGAGAACTGAGGAAAGCATTACTTGAGGAGCACAAGTCTAACGGGTTCCCTCATTACCCCCCTCTATACTACCCCTCAAGATTCAGGCTACATAAGGATAATTGAGCCCAATTTAGGTTACTTAAGGGGGAATATAGAGGGGGTGGTCGGGGAACCTATGAACCCATGGCAGCCGTGCGGAGCACTTCGGAAGGTAGCACAAGTCGTTAGGGGGTGGTCTGCAACTGCAGGGGAAACCATGGATCTCCATGCATCCCAACATCCTTCAACCCTTGAACCTCAAAAGCCCAGAAAACGCAGCACGGATCCATTAAAACCCTGGCCCTAAAGATCACTAAAGCCCGAAACCCAACATGTCCTAAGACCTTCTATCCCTAGACACCCCAAACCCGTAAAACCCAAACCCTAGAACCTCTGAGCCCCGCCTGCTCAATCCCTGACTTGCCAAAAGCCCAAAAACGATAACACCCCGAAAAGCTCACGAAGCCTCGAAAGCGTGATGCCTTCAAATGTAAAACCCTACAAGGCCTACCCTAGGGCTGAGGCTGTACAAGTAAGGACCCCCCCCAAGTCATAAGGGGGGTTCTAAGTGCCCCAGAACCAGGTTCTAGGCCTTCGGTCTTATCATCTTTGTCACAACTCCCGACGCGAAGATCGCGGAGTAAGGGAGCCCTACTTCTACAAAACCTTGCGAAGCCCGCCACCCCACCCCTGAGCCCAAACTGCAACTTGCAGTCCCCACGCAGTCAAATCATTCAAGTCAATTAACTATTCTAACTACAATCTAGTTCATGGTTGGGATCGCATTAAAAAGTTGAGTTTCTGTTCCTTATTTGGGTTTAAGTACCCTTAGGAATTCTAAAATGTTGCCCAACTATGACGAAGTAATAGGGTTTAGGGTTCAGGGTAGATGAGAGTCTTGTCTTCTGACTGTTACAAGTACAAAAGTAGTAGCCGAACCATCACGGAGCTGAACCCTAAACCCTAAACCCTAAACCCTAAACCCTAAACCCTAAACCCTAAACCCTAAACCCTAAACCCTAAACCCTAAACCCTAAACCCTAAACCCTAAACCCTAAACCCTAAACCCTTAGACTTGGGCTTAGGGTCCAAATCCCCCTGGTCGATAGCCGAGGCGCATGTAGCACTGCAGGTCCTTCGAAAGGTACCGCGTGTACAGCCTGGGCGATAGAGCTTCTGTTGGGTTTGGGGTTTGGGGTTTAGGGCTTGGGGTTTAGGGTCTAGGGTTTAGGGTTTAGGGTTTAGGGTTTAGGGTTTAGGGTTTAGGGTTTAGGGTTTAGGGTTTAGGGTTTAGGGTTGTCCAAGAGCTAAGACTCGGAACGCTGTTCAAGTTGAATAGCGTCCCTACAACACACTACCCAACTGCCTATTCAGGCGAAATAGGTCCCTAAACCCTAAACCCTAAACCCTAAACCCTAAACCCTAAACCCTAAACCCTAAACCCTAAACCCTAAACCCTAAACCCTAAACCCTGCCAGCACTAAACCATACTTAGCCTTTAGGGCTTGGGGCTTGAGGGTTCGACAATCCTTTCGGAGTTTTGAGAGTTCCGAGGGGTTTGAGGGGAACCCGACATCCTAAAGTCTGAACCCTAAACCCTGAACCCTAAACCCTGAACCCTAAACCCTGAACCCTAAACCTTAAACCCCAAGCCCTGAGCCCTGAGCCCCAAACCCTGAACATCGAAAGGTTTGGGGCCAGGAGGCCAGTTGGGGGGTCTAAACCCTTGAAACCCTAAACCCTAAACTCTAAACCCTAAACCCTTGAAACCCTAAACCTGCGACCTTCAGGGACGCCGAGACGCGTATGCGGCTGATGGCAGAAGAACCGCCGATTGCTCAAGCAGCCTTGTTAGGGTTTAGGGTCAGGGTTTAGGGTTTAGGGTTTAGGGTTTAGGGTTTAGGGTCTAGGGTTTCGGGGTTCCGGGTTGAGGTTTAGGGTTTGGGGCTTACGTTGAGGGGTGTAGGGCTGAGGGTTGTTCAGGTTTGGGGGCTGAGGTTTTGGGCCAATTTTTGAAGGGTCTAAACCGTTGCAACTTTCCTGGACGCCTTTGGGCTTCGAACTGACAACTTGAGCACCTTTAGGGTTTAGGGTTTAGGGTTGAGGGTTGAGGGTTGAGGGTTGAGGGTTTAGGGTTTAGGGTTTAGGGTTTAGGGTTTAGGGTTTAGGGTTTAGGGTTTAGGGTTTAGGGGTTAGGGTTTAGGGTTTAGGGTTTAGGGTTTAGGGCACCTCCAATTCGCCCGCGGCTCGGAACATGGACTTTCGACCCTGTACTGTAAAAGGCTTCGCGGGTTTAGGGCTTAGGGTTCGCCCCACTCTGCAAACCCTCAGCCCGAGTCCCTAAGCCCTAAGCCCTAAGCCCTAAGCCCTAAACCCTAAGCCCTAAGCCCTAAGCCCTAAGCCCTAAACCCTAAACCCTAAACCCTAAACCCTAAACCCTAAACCCTAAACCCTAAACCCTAAACCCTAACCCTAAACCCTAAACCCTAAACCCTAAACCTTCGCTACGTGTTCACTTGCCAGGTTCGTGCCCGCCAGTGCTGTTGATGGTTTAGAGGCGTTGGGGTTTAGGGGCTGGATGTTCTGGCCGATACCCTAAACCCTAAAC